TTAGATTCTTGCGATGACGGTGTTTGGAGGTTTGATCTATGCGACTGTTGGAAATAGTGGTTGAATATTAGAGGTTGTTGAGAAAAAAATGGAACGTGTGACATTCTTTCTACTGGGGAGAACTGATAGCTTGACATTAAGAATTTTATGCAGGACACTATGGTCCCTGGGGCCCAAGTGCATGTCCCCGCCTTCTGTGGTAATGATTGCGACTGCTGATTGAACAATTGTGACTTTCAAGCTGGTGGTTGCAACTACTAAGTTGCTATCGACCGAGGCATTTAGGTTGTAGTTGTAACCGAATACTCTGTTGTGACGGGTGACGGTCGCCATAGGGAAGTGATTGTAGTCAATGCAGTTCTGGTTATCGGACCTTATGATGTCTGGGCTTTTGGCATATGGGTGGAGGCTTGTGCATCTGCCCAGGTTTTTTGTAATGACCCAATTTTCACGACTAAAAATTTCTTTTAAAACATTACTAAAATCACATTTATAGAAACCGTATCATAAGTCATAACATAATTTCATAGTATTAATTTCAAACATAACTTATTATCAGAGTAAAACATCCTATGCTAACTGGCTATGGTGTGTGAACTGCAACCTCTCCAAGCTCCTCTTTTGAAAAATGAGTACCTGAAACCAAAAATTGAAACTGTAAGCATGAAGCTTAGTGAGCTCCACCAAACTACCACATACCATACAAACATATAAGCACATACTAGTCCTTGCCCACTACATCGGACCAATGTCCGGACTAACTGGGGCCTTGCCCCCTGCATCGGACCGAAGTCCGGAAACTGACTGGGACCTGGTCCCTTGCATCGGACCAAAGTTTGGACTAACTGGGGCCTTGCCCCTGCATCGGACCGAAGTTCGGAAACTAACTGGGACCTTGTCCCCTGCATCGGACCGAAGTTCGGACTAACTGGGGCCTTGCCCCCTGCATCGGACCGAAGTCCGGACTAACTGGGACCTTGTCCCCTGCATTGGACCGAAGTTCGGAACTGATTGCATCAGACCGAAATCCGGATCTAACTGAACATAACATAGCATAACCTATCAACTAGCATGGACACATAACACATAATCCTGTTTGAGCCATGAACACATCAAACATACTAACTACTGCATCAGACCAAGTTTGGAAACTACTGCTAACTAAACGGGCCGACATTGTGGCCTTAGACCCGTTCCTACTGGAAGGAAACTCACCTGCACTGCTGGAGTTCTTGTTGATACCCTGCTGACTGCTATCTCACAACTCCCGCACTGCTACTCCAGTGACTCCCCAATCTACTAATAGCAAATATAACACTTAGTCCCAAACTGCCCTTCAACGGTCAAACTAAGTCAACTCTGGTCAAGGTCAAAGTTCTGGTCAAAGTCAACCTTCCAGGTTGACCCTACTCGCTGAGTCAGCCTCCTGACTCACTGAGTTCATAAGCTCAAAAACCCCTTTCATTCGCGACTCGACTCTCCGAGTCAGACCATGACTCGCCGAGTCTACCGATTTCCGAGTTCTGTCCTGCTCCACTCACTGAGTCACCTCCTGACTCACTGATTCGAGGCTTAACCAGAAAAGGTTTGAGGTTCTGTGACCAGACTTGCCGAGTCCAAGAACAGACTCGCCGAGTCCAAGGCAATCTTCAACAGACTCGCCGATTTGTTCTTCGAACTCGCCGACTTCATGCTCATGATCATACAACTCGCTGAGTACACCTATGTGACTCGCCGAGTCTCTTCAGTTCTTAATCCATACAGTGGCTTTTCGAGCCATGTAGGGGCTCAAATCCATAGATCCATTCCTCTAGACCCAACCCCCACGTAAAGTGGCAGACTTTACGTGTAACCAAGGAGTTATAGGCTTAGAACACTCTAGGGCTAGGGTTTGTTACAAAGGGGCTTCACTAACAACTTATTGGTCTAAACTTTATGGCTTTCTGGGTTATTACCTACCTAGATCTGAGGTAGCAACCTCAGATCTACTCCAAAATCGAAATAGATCTCATCCATACTCAAAATGACCAAAACTCAAACATAAGATAGATCTAGATGCACATAAGCCCAAACAACAAACTATTACCTCAAATGAAAGCTCCAACTGAAGTAAATCCCAGATCTACACCACTCCTTTGCAGCAAAGCCCTTGATCTTCACGCCCCTCTCCAAGATTCTCTCCTTTGAGGCTCTATTCTCTCAAATAATGAAGGCTCATTTAATTCTAGGGTTTCTGGAACTCAAAAGGGGAGCAAAGAGGCTAAGGGTGGCTTATAATGTGCTTTATATAGGGCACAACCTCTGGGATTAGGGTTTTTCTCGCCCAGACCAGACTCGCCGAGTCGGTCACTTACTCAATGACCCTGATCCCGCTCCGACTCGTCGAGTTCCTCCCTGGACTTGACGAGTTGACTCTTGATTTAGAGCTTAACCTTTCTTTTCTTGGTCTTCCTGATTTTGGGTGTTACAACTCTCCCCCACTTAAACTAGACTTCGTCCTCGAAGTCCACCACGGCCAACTATTTCACAACCCACTTACTGCTTACCACTAGCTATGCACTGGACACTCTTTGCTACTATAACTTAGTATTGAGTACCCATCAATCAACTAGTCAAATGCTACCATAGTCTACTTTCCATTACTGCCACTGACTGAAAATTTATGTTGCCCCTTCTCCGCCTTCCGGATGAACCGAGACCACCCTGGTTCCTACTGACGTCTCCATATCTGGGTTACCGAACTCCTACCGGTTACTACACCCCATCGCAATCTCTTAGTCACTCTCAGCGACTTCTAAAGATACCTCGACTATCTATAACTATTCTACCCTCTCTGACACTCATACTGAATCGATGCTGCTGGAACCAGCCTGCTTATCTCTCATCTGACTACTTAACTTCCAATAACTCGAGCCTTCCATCTAGAAAGAAAGGCTACATGCCTAATTATCCTTGCAGATCACTTATACTTGGCAGAAGACTCAACTGATCCTGCTGAGAGGGACTTGCCATTTTAAATCAACCAACTATACCGTCAGCTCTTGCATTCCAACACAAATACTAATACTAGCCATCACACTGAAACTATCTGAAACACTGAACTGCCTGCAATACTGAACTGCCTGAAACACTGAACTGGCTGAAGCACTGAACTGGCTGAAACACTGAACTGGCTGAAACACTGAACTGAGTGAAACACTGAACTGAGTGAAACACTGAACTGGCTAAAACACTGAAGTGACTATATGGCTGCTTCCCACAACATCTCAATACCTTCCTAGTCTCCAATCATTCATCGGTTATCTGCAACACTGAGTTCCAACTCAATTGTGGAGCCCAAGGACTCCTTACTTAGTCGCTCCCACAACTTTTGAATGAAATCTTTCTCTGGAACTAGTTTCCACTAGTCATCCTGACACTGTGACTCTAACAACCTCCCGATCCAACCGACCAGGTCCATACATCGAATCCTAACATCATCAAATCCAAGACTAAAAATGGTGGCTCCCATACTAACGGTATCCCTTAGCATACACGAACCCAAGCGGTCCACTGCTTCCCTGATCTCATAACTGTGGTGACGATCCACTAACAAATAGCCGACTTAACCAGAACTGAACCATTTGGGAAATCCGAAATCTAACCCGTGGATTCCCATATTCTCACTACTTCACTCGAACTGGTGGGTATTACTGCTTTCCCCGCGTCCAAACAACACGCTCATGCTGCCTACCAACCTGGTAAATGCTACAGTTACACCCGCAGACTTACAACTCTCTAATACTATCTTGCTGCTAGTGAATGCTACAGCTATTCCCGTAGACTTACAACACTCTACTACTATCTGAATGCTAGTGAATGCTACGGCTACCCCCGCAGACTTACAACATTCTACTACTATCTGACTGCTAGTGAATTCTACGACTACCCCCGCAGGCTTACAACACTCTACTACTATCTAACTGCTAGTGAATGCTATGGCTACCCCCGCAGACTTACAACACTCTACTACTATCTGACTGCTAGTGAATGCTACGGCTACCCCCGCAAACTTACAACACTCTACTACTATCTGACTGCTAGTGAATGCTACGGCTACCCCCGCAGACTTACAACACTTTACTCCTATCTGACTGCTAGTGAATGCTACGGCTACCCCCGCAGACTTACAACACTACTACTATTTCGAGGACATCTTGATTATCCCTAGTCCTGCTAGTGATTCCTCATCCTGATTTCTCAAAACCAGCCCTCAGTCATCGAATGTTGCATCAACCTCGACATCTTATATCCTTGATACACTTAGCGGTCCATCAAGGAAGTCTTTGGCTTGGTTCCCAAACCAACCGTCTACTAATCCGAATACATGAAACTATCGTTGGGAAGTTTCCAAAACCCCCAACTCCTGAATTAAACACAAGATGATCAATAGATTCTATATTAATAAAGTGAATTAAAGACAAGAACGTTGAAGATCAAAAGTGTGCCTAAATCTTGGATTAAAGAATCTCTAAAAGACTTCACAAGACGGAACTTCTCTGTAAGAGGTTACAAAAGGTGCTAGGGTTCAAAAGTGTAACCCTAATATGATACATGTATGCAATATATATAGACTAGACTAGATAGTGGATCTGAACATGGGCAGGCCCATTTCGGAATAAACAAAACTATATAGGAACACATTTGAAACAACACATAATTGACGCAACACTCTCCCCCTTTGTGTCAAATTCAGAAAGAGAGCTTCATTCTCTTCTTTTCTCCATGTTAAACAATTTTAGCACTAAATTCAGAAGCGTATTTTAGATACATAAGTACCAACGTATCATATCCTAAAACCATTTGAGGTATGCCGTAATATTTGCTTTGCATGGTTCGGCCAAAGAAAGAATAGTCTTCAAAGTGACTGTTGAGTAAAGGTGTTTGTCTCATAGAAAGAACATGTTGTTCTAAACTACGTCACCATCCTTTCTCTTATACACTATGCTCCAATACTTTTTTCAGATAGTTCCCACTTTTAGCTTCTGAATATCCTTCAATTGCTCTTCTGTCTTTAGAATAGACCTTTTCATCAAAACTAATGCTATTTTAACATCCATCTTCGCAATTTCATGGATGTAGTAGATGAGCATCTTTTTCAAATGTGCAACGATAGGCTTATACTTCTTTTCATCTTTCATAACGATCTGGAACAAGAAGATCCAATCATATGTGTTCATAAATGGCTGGTCTGCCAAAGTGAACTCATCTGAAATGTGATTAGCTCATGTGAATCCCTTGAACTCTATATTCATAAAGTCTTCGGTGTGAACAGGAAAGTTCGGCTTCACAGCCACTATTCTCTTTAAGCTCCAAGTCTCGTACTATGGTTTGGCATACTTCAAGTAAAATGAGAATAGCTTCCCATTTACAGCACTATCAGAAATCAAAGACTTCTCTATATTTTCAAAACAACCAAAGAGAAATGCCCTTGGAGTGATGGGGAAACCGAATTGATTTTCCACATCATTGAGTAAATCAAATGAGATTGAGGACTCCATCCAATAGATGCTTGGATCGACAATTTCATCTTTCTGAATACGCTCCATTTTGCATTCTTAACCTCAGCTTTCTCTACTTATAATTTCTTCTGAAGATCATCTAGATCTTTTTCACGTCTCTTTCTCATTTTCTTCTTAGATTCAGACAACTTTCTTCTTCATCAATTTCTTTCCATTCACCTTTCTTTGATGCAAAAGCTTCAATACCCTTCTGATCAGTTTCAGTCAGTGGTTGTTGGTCTTTGTCTCCCCTTTGTTTCAGAGAATCCCCACCTTCCAAAACACCTTGGATATGATTAAGTATATCATATACCAATTGAAGCTTGTGAGATAATTTTTATCGAACCAAGACATTGAACAAGGAGTCACAAGTCTCATCAAGCCTCATTAAATACTAATTGATCTCTCAAACACAACTTTTAACAATATTACTTTCATTTTCAAGATTAACATTATGCTTGGTAACACTCTGCAGTTTCACCAAAAGGACCTTGGCCTTCTTAGTTTTCTCAACTAACTCATCGATTATTTTGTTTTCAACCGCCTGGTTTTCTTGTAGCTTTTCAATCTTTAAGGCAAAAGAGGAAGTCAGTTCAACATTTTCAACTTTGATTTTGAAATGAATGAGCGAGAGAGTCTCCTTCTCAGCTTTCAATTAATTACGAAATCCTTCAATCAGCTTATTCATGTCTACTGAATTTTTGTCAGAGGAGGTTTAAAAATCACATAAATGTAGTCACATCTTGATGGTGTTTTTCGACTTTTTCGATCGTTTCGGAAATAGTCTTTTGAGAGGTGTGGATTGCCTTGGTTGCTTCTTCAAGAACTTTAGAGTTTGACGATGTGAGCTTCTCAACGGTAGCTTTATTAGATGTCAGCATATTCCCACTTGGATGAAGATAAAGAGGTGGAAGAATCCAAAATCGAATCCAACTTTTCATTTAGCTTTTTTAAACTATCTTTTTGTTATTGGGGAATCATCGTCATCACTGTTTATTTTGATGGTAAAAGGCCTAATCAAAAAAGGTCTCCTGATCATCTCCGACAAAAATGTCACCAGTGTCATTTGAAGGAGTAGCAGTAGATATGCCCTGACCAGAAGTCACATCGGTGTGGACATTTTCCCCTGCATCAGATGCGTTGACATGAATGCCTGAAGTATGTATCTCCTCTGAAATGGACTCGAATACCGAGACTTTCGGTGGAGTATAAATCGATGTTGTTGAAGGATTGGTTCAACCGGTAAAGATTGGTGAGGAGAAAGGGATTGAGATATGTGGAAGAGAAATCCCAACAGAGATCTTTGGTAGTAGTGGGGGGGGGGGGTGGAAGAAATTATAATTATGGATGTAATTAGTGAGGTAGGTGGAGTTATGGGTGGTGGTGGTGGAGTAGAAGTAGTGAGGTTTAGAATGGGGTCTTGGAGAACAGTATGACAAATATCTAAAGTAGGAACATATGACGATGGTGGAGATGATACCTTCTGAATTGGTTCTATTGGTGTTGTTTTAGAAGTGGCAATAGTATCTTCTTCCTCATTCCGAAGGGGGTCATCCTCTTGAGGCTCTGTGAAATTCCTCTCATCTTACTCGTCTTTGAGAACCGGAGATGGAGATCTCCGTTTCTTAGCAGGCTTCCTTGTCTTCTTGGGAGCTCTACCAACTTCAGAAGGAGCAACTTTTGCTTTCATTTTAGCTCCCCTCTTCGGTTTATTACTTTTATCAATCAACTGTCAAAGATCAGCTAGCATCGGATGAACACCAGAAGAAGGTAAATTTTGATACTCCCTCACAATTTCATTGCCAACAGGAACCTTAACTAACATTGAACTGTAATATAACCAATAAAATTGAAGTTTCTAGGGCCCGAGATCACAAACATGGAAGTTTGGAGTGTTGGAACTGTTGTCATTATAGAATCCTTCATCAAAGGGACTTTGAAGTATCATAGGGAACGGTTGACCACAATCGACCAAAATCTAGCACAAGAAATCTCAGTATGGCGAGTAGTAGAGACAGTGCTTTGAATAATTTGATTCTATAGAATAGAACCATAGTAAAGGTTCACTCCATGGTATAACCCAAATATGAGAGTATAGAACAGTTTGTTGGCACTATCTGACCTAGCAACAATCTCTTAGAAACTCCATCGTGAACAAGAGAGTGAACAACCCATTTCAAAATTAAGGAAGAAAGGGTTTCCTGAAGTTTGATAGCAGTGAGATGTCGTCAGTGTAGCCCATTCGATAGAACATATCAATTAGTTTAATGATTGAAATCGACTTTGGATCCATACAAACTTCAGGTAAAGTAAGCCTAAGAGTTTTCTAAAATAGGACATTGTGATTGAAGTTTTGTGAGAAGTAACCTCGAAGTGGATGATGTCCTCTGCTTTATTGTAGATTGTGGATGAGTATGCCTTTGAGTGATGAACCAAGGGAACAAATTCCGCCATTGTTAATGCCTGAGCCAGTGGCGAGAACTTAAGGCATTCAATCATCGGCCTAAGAACTTCAATGTAGCGTGATGAATCAAGATAAAAAAAATCAGATTCTGGTTGGGCTTCATGGTAAGCATGATGATAGAGGTAGACTGTTCAGCAAGGCAGACGTTCTCAAATGAACTTGCCATTGAATCTTTTGATAAAGACGATGAAGAATAAAGAGAAAGCAGTTTTTTCTTTGAGGGTTTTGTGAATTCTGTTTGCAGTGACAGAAAATGAACTATCCAAAACCCTTTCATACGGTATATGATGAGTGGTAAGATAAAACTGTTGTTCCATATTCCAGTATGTCGTAAAATTAGCCTATAAATTTTTGCCAACTCATCAATAAGTGTTAGATGCCATTGTAATAGACACGCGTGTGTCAGGGAGTTCAAAAGTCACTCCTGATTTGAATTTTCATCTCTTAAAATATCGTCGTTTTAGGATCATTAAACAACCTCAGCTTTGAAATCATGATCGATTCTTTGAATTCAAGTAATAAATCGGAATTAGAACCAGACTTTGAAAACTCACAAGGACTTTTGTGCAAGAGTGTGCCAAAGATAAAGAAATAAAAAAAAATCTAATGATAGGGATTTTTGAAGCGTTTTGAGCATCCTAACAACCTTAAGGTGCATATACAACCCTAAATGCTTTGGATCTATGTTTTCTCTAATTATACATGTAAAATGATTTTCCAAAGCATTACCCTATTTAGCATAAAAGCATGGGTACTTGTATAACAAAAATTAGTTAAAAGACATACCTTTTCTTGTAGCTTGATTCCTTGGACCTTTAAGAGCCTAGCACCCCAAATGTGATGCCTCAAATGCTTCACACAACAGCACCAAAAATGGAAGGACTTGAGAAGGATTGTCTTGCACCAAATTCGTCTATAGCTCTCCAAGAACACTAGGGTGCTGATTTTAGGAGCCATGGGGTCTCTTATATAATGTGGCAAAACTAGGGTTATACCATGTAAACCTTAATGGGAATGACCTTCCATATTCCTTAGGCTCCACGGGTTTAAACCTCCTTGGATCATCAATGGATTGTCACATGGGTTTAGCCCAACATAAGGAATCAGGGATCATTGGCCCACACTATAAGAATGAATGATTTACCAAATCAACCCCTTATATTTAATTAGTCTTTTTTATCACAAATTAATTATAAATTAATTCTTGATCAATAATAATTAAATAATATGATTTCATCTTAATATATTAAAACTTATAATATATTTATAAATCATGAATATCCTCTTCTCAAAAGTCCATCCTTACAAATTGTTCCGGTGCCATGCAATCCAAATGGACCATGCTACTCTCGGGTCAAGTACATACTAAATATAGTTATGGGCTTAGACACTAAATCCAACAATTCTGTGATGTCAAACAAGACTAACATGAAAATCAGATGGATCCTAGACGACGATCTCTTCCTTCTGAGTCCAGAGAGACTCTGAGGTTCTTGTATGGTTTATTGTTGAATTATGATCATCAGTTTATTGAGAAATAATGAAAGGCTTATTTTAGTAGGCTTTAAGGGTGGATTAAGCTTCAGCAAGATTCTGAAACTCAACATAAGTCTGAAGATCTTAATGACGTATTTGTTTGACTGGTGTAGCCATAATAACAAGTAAGATTTGGATTTTATTTAAAGTGACTGGATATAATGGAAATCTAAAAAAAAAAATGTAAAAAATTGGATCTTTTGGGAAGAAATGACTTGGGTCGAGAACATTTCATTAAGATCACTCAAAAAAGAAAAATGAGATTTCAAACTTGTAAAGGTACCAAACAAAAGGTTCTATTCATCAATGCCTTGGTTAAGTTTTCTAGAACAAAAGGATGTTCACCATCAATTCTAAAGTAGGTTTTGGATTTTGGGTTTCGCTCGAAATCGTGGTGATAACAATTTCAAGATCATAAACACAGAAGTTGTGTAACCATGAACCTCAGTGGTAATTTCTTAGAGTCTCAAGGGTTACATTTATGAACACGAAGAAGATGGAGAATGTATAGATTGGTTCCGAAGAAGATAATGTACCTCTTCTATATTTGCATGACAAAGCAGTGAACTGTTAACTCAATGAGAGAAGAGTAAGGTAGCTCGATGACTTATGTCATTTAATATCATGGTTTGGAAGAAACAATCACAATGAAAGTTTCATTAAGGATTTGAACATGGAGTCTAAGAGGCTTGGGACAACATGCAACATCATGCTTGTAGGCACTCTTAGCTAGTACATAGTTTTGGTTAGAAAAGAACATCAATTCCCTAAAAATAACATGTATTTGGTGTTTTTGAGTTTTTAAAGGAAAATATAGAAAAAAATAAAGTATTGTTGAATTTTCTAAAGAAAATGAAAATAGAAATAAAAGAAAAATATTTTTGATATATTTTGATGCACTGAAAAAAAAAATGAAAAACAGAAATAAAGAAAATATTTTGAGATTTTTTGATTTTCTAAAAAGATATGAAAAACAGAAATTAATAAAAATAACTAAGAAAAAAGATTTTAGAAACATAAACGAATAGTAACTTCCGAACCATTCCAAAGCTTGGAATCAGTCGGAAGAGACTTAATTTACAAAGGATATACATCATTCTGAAACAAGGATGAATAGCGACATCCGAAGCATTCCGAAACTCAGAACCAATCGAAATGTGAATAGTGAATTCTGAAACATTCTGAAGCTCGAAACCGTTTGGAATGTGAACAGTAAAATCTGAAACATTCCAAAGCTCATAACCTTTCGGAGCATGAACAGTTACTTTCGGAATTAAGTCTACTACAATCATTCCTTTGTAAAATCTGATTGAATGAAGCCTCAAGAAGGACCTTTGTGAAGATGTAAGCCAACTGATGTGAAGATCTAACAAAATGAACTTCAATGTTTCCATCCTCGACGTGATCCTTTATGAAGTGATATCTCAGTGATATATGCTTTGTCTTGGAGTGTTGCACTAGATTGTGGCAAATTCTTATAGCACTTTCGGAATCACAACACAGTGGTATTCTCTTCATGTTAATTCCATAATCTATAAGTTGGTTTTGAATCCACACAACTTGGGATATACAAGATGTTATTGCAATGTATTCAGCTTCAGCAGTCGATAAGGACACACATGTATGCTTCTTAGATATCCAACTAACAAGCTTGCCATCCAGAAACTGACATCCCCCAGAAGTGCTTTTACGATTAAGGCACATCCTCCTTTGTCAGCATTAGAATAAGCTTGCACAAAGAATCCTGAATGGGATGGATACCATATTTTGAGAGATGTTGTTCTTTTGAGGTATCGAAATATGTCCTTTACAGCTACCATATGTGGTTCATGGGGATTCGCCCGAAACCCGACACAATAACATACAACAAACATAATATCAGGGTGACTCGATGTTAGATACATTAAAGATCCGATCATCTTGCGAAATAATGTGATATCAGCTGGTGGTTTGTCGAAGGATGGAGTTAGTTTTGTTTCGAAGGCCATTGGAACCTTGACCTTTGAGTCACCCACCATTCTGAATTTAGCAAGCAAGTTCTTCGTGTAGGCTTCTTGGCTGATGAATATCCCCTATGAACCTTGTTAAATATTTAAACCAAGGAAAAAGCTGATTGGACCCATTGAACTCATTTCAAATTTAGTTTCCATTAGTTTTCAAAATTTAGCAGTTAATCTAGGACTAGTAGATCCAAAAATAATTTCATCAACGTAAATTTGAACGATCATTAAATGGTTAATATCTTTCTTGCGAAAGAAGGTTGGGTCAACCGAACCTTGTTTGGATTTAGACTGCTTAAGGAAATGAGTCATAGTTTCATACCATGCACGAGGTGCTTGTTTCAGACCATACACTGCCTTATTCAAAACATAGCAATGATTTGAATATTTTTCATTTAATAAAACTGGTAGTTGTTCTACATAGACAGTCTCCTCGAGTTCTCTATTCAGAAATGCGCACTTCACATCCATTTGATAGACTTCAAATTTTTTTAGAGCGGAATAGGCGAGAAAAATTCGAACATATTTCAATCTAGGGATCAGTGCGATCATCTCTTCATAGTCTATTCCTTCCTCTTGGCAATAGCCTTTAACCACCAAATGTGCCTTGTTGCGGCTCACGTTTCCTTCTTTATCTATCTTATTCCACAACACCCATTTCATTCCAACTACAAATGCATCCTTCAGAGGGGGAACCAATATCCATACTTTATTTTTCTCAAATACATTGAGTTCTTCGTGCATAGTTTGAACCCAATCTGCATGGTCAAGAGCAATTTTGACATTTTTAGAATCAATTTTAGAAATGAAAGAATTAAACATGCCAAATTCCAATTTAGAAAAGAATGTAGTTTGTTTTGCTTTTTTTTGAACTCAAGTAAGAACGCCTGATGAAGCATCTATGATCACTTGAGATGGAGGATGATCTTTGGTCCACATCGTCATTGGAGGATAGTTCTGATCATAAAATGGATCAATTTCAGCATAAACTTCTTCATATTCCGATTGTACATTCGAGTCATTATTTTCATTCTCCCCCTAGAAGTTTGCATGTGACCCGTCGCTCGGAATTGAATTCTCCTCTTGGAAAGGTAAGTCGGTATTAGAGTTCGAAGTGGAACTCTCCCCCTAGACGAAAGCATCAGAAGATTCTGGTTGAGGATCATTCAGAATTGGTTGCTTAGGAGGATTCTCGTTGTCTTCAACAGCCTTATTGATAATCTTTATCAATTCATCTTCTTGATTATCCTTGGCCTTCGATTATGAGGAAATGGCTTTATCAGGTTCATCAAAAAATTTTTGAAATTCCTCATATAAATTTATAATAGGAATTGTCATAGAATTTGTTGACGGGAAGATTTCCCCAGACTAAAAATCTTCTTTCTGATAATCATCAAACAAATTTTGCAATTCGTCATATAATTCCTCAATTTTCTTTGATCTTTTGTTTAGAACCCTATATGACTTTGAAGTTAGCAAATATCCCATACAGATTCCTT